TTCTTTCCCTGCAGGGGTTGGAGGAGGGAAGGTTGGTGGCCTCCAGAGTCTTGGGGCTCCATCCTGAGCTACACAGAACTGTGTTTTGTTGGAGGGAGACGTTGGTTTCTTAAGTGAGCTTGAGGTGTGTCCTCTAAATCATTTCTTGTCAGCTCGCCCCACCACATTCCCTGCTTTGGTGGCTGCAATCTTTGAGTGTTTTGTGCTCCACTCAGGCTTCTAGTTACAGGTTTTGATTTGGAAATACAAAGGCCTCTTCTGCCTAAACGCCATCTTGTTAGCCGGAGGCTCATGGCAAAGGTGATCCTGTTTCCCAGATTTGGGGGTGGAGCATGGGGCTGGAGACCAGGATGGATGCAAGGTTCAGACTGGACTCAGTTCTGCATTCCTCCCATCTGAACCCCAGCACCCACTGTGCCTCAAGAGCAGGGGTCAGAGGGGCAAATAAAACAAACCCATAATGGAGTAAGAGGGCCTCTCCCCTCCTCCTCCCAAGTAGAAAAGCTTTCGTAGCTCCCTTTTATGTCGCCTTTGACATTTTGGAGAATTATAGGGTATTGTAGCAGAATGGGTGGTTAGCTCTGCCCTGTCCCTGTTTGGGTATGATTACTACTATCCCTGCTGGCAGGGCTCAAACTCAGATGCATAGATTCCCCTCCTCCCATTCAAGACATGCTGCAAGAGTTGGGTCCTTGAATCCGTGAGAGGTGATAATCTATGAATCTAATTTAAAATCCACTCCACCACCTCATCAGCACAAGCACATATATCCACACCTAGCACATGCATAGTTCTAGAGAGAAGGAAACTAAGTCCCTGGGAGTTGAGTGACATCCAGGGGGGTATAGTGCTAAGACTAGAATTTATATCTTTGCTTGGTCCATCTCTACCTTCCACCAAAGAGGTCTGCCGGGCTGATGCCAGGTAGCACAAAGCCTTAGAAAGTACCTAATAGGCACCTTCAGTGGGATGCAGGACCGGAACACCACGTAACTTGTTTCATGGAGAGGGACTGTCCTCTATGTTCATGACAGAACTTTCTTCATCTTTGGAAAGAGGATGTTGGGTGCTTCAAAAGGGCTAGATTTCCAGCTGAGTCATAGAGTTGATAAGGCTGACTGATAAACTATTTAGGTAAGCTGGAGATGAAAAGCATATCAAAGAAAATTAAAAGTATGTCAAATTAAGAGAGGCTTACTCTAAGTCTCTCTGTCCAGGGAAGATCAATGTAGGTCATCTAGGATTATTTTATAAAGTAAATAAATTTGTTTTCATCTGCAGTTGTTTCCTAGTGGGTAAAGAGGAAATGTCAGATATGAAATATCAACCTTTATTGTTTTGATTGTTAATTTGTAAAATCGCTAGCCAGTGAGGTGTGAGGTGTGTGTATATGTGTGTGTGTGTATACACCGATATGTGCCAGTACTGGGGCTTGATCTCAGGGCCTTACCCTTTCTTGTTTAAAGCTGGCTCTGTATCACTTGAGCCACAGCTCCACTAACAGTTTTTGGGTGGTTAGTTGGAGATGAATTTAAGGACTTTTCTGCCTGGACTGGATTCAAACCTCAGTTCTTACTTAGCCTCCTGAGTAGCTCGGATTACAGGCATGAACCACCAGCCTGGCATTTAATCCTGTCTGCATCCTCATGAGTGAGCATCAGCCTCCTGTCTTGCAGTTGTTAAAACTCTTGAATCAAGTGTTAGCAACTAATATCTAATCCTAGCCACTGGAGAGGTTGAAATCAGGAGGATTGAGGTTCAAGGTCATCCTAAGCCTAAAAGTCCTCAAAATTCCATCTCCACAGAGGGAAGCTGGACAAGATGACATGAGCCTATTATCCCAGCAACTGTGGGATATGCCTGTATGAAAAGCAAGACAATATCTAAAAAATAATCAGCAAAAAATAAAACAAACATATCTGGAGATGTGGTTCAAGTGGTAGACTGCCAGCCTTATTAAGCTCAAGGCCCTGAGTTCAAGCCAAAAACAAAACAAACCCTCTCCATGCAACTGGGTAGTGAGGCTCCAATGCCTCTTTCCTAGGACCAAGCAATGTGGGAAAGTCCAACTAATTTGACGTAAGAGGATTGTAGTTAATGGTCTCCCTATAGCTGACTGGAATCTCGGAATGTGGGTTGAAAACAAACTTTCCTGGAATGTTGTGACCCTCGAATAAGAAGTACTTTCTAAATTCATAAAGCTTGATTAAACCATTAGAGAGAATAGGCAACATGGTATCATGCCATTCTCTTGAAAGAACTAAAGTACATTTTTTATAATCTTTGAGCATTTTACTAAAGTGTTGCAGGATCTAAGAAGACCTCTCCTTTTGAGGATAACTGTTCCTTTCTCTGCTTGTTTCTGGCTGGTATGATGATGAGCTGGTACTGACCCCAAACCTGTACCAGCACTGGCAGTTGCTCTTTTCTGCTGAGTCCAGAACCCACAGCTTCTAAAGAGACTCAGACGGAGCCCTTTGGTCCATCATGGTATCTGGTGGTACTGGATGAGCACTTTCTAAGCCCTGGCCCTCCTCGGTGCTTATCTGTGCTTAAGTCCCCAGGTGGGTGGGTGGGCACAGTTGATCCTTGCTCCTGGGGAGATTCTTTTCTGCAGAGGGGACTGTCATCATCATGCACTTGATAACAACTGTGGGATTCTTTCAGGACTGCCTGTCATTAGGGCTAAATTGTTTCATAACATGATAATTGGTGTATTATCCAAAGTAGAGAGAGCCTGGGGAAGGTGAGCAGAGCTTGAGATAGTTTATTATTGGTTATCCAGGGATGTTTATGAAAACATTCATTAGTGCTTCTCAGGAGAGAGAAAACAATGCCAGCAGCCACGCCAGTCCTAGGCAGCTTTGCTTTGCTTCCAGATAGAGCAGAATTCCAGAAGGCTGACAGAACGGGCTAGTGCTTTGTAACCCAGGGGGCAGGATTGTGGTTTGGAACCGGAGGGACTGTGAGTTCAGTCCTTACCTTTGCATTTTACTCTCTGTTCTCTTTCCTTTTGTGGTTTTAATTTGGGTCTTCAGAGGCGCTCCATTGAACACTGCAAAGCATCCCATTGGACAGGCTCTGAAGAGATGCTTGGGAATGTGACGCTGACTTCCGACTCTCGTGTAATTAGGAAATATGCTGCTAACCTCAGTCTTGCTGTGGCTCCTCTCCTTGCTTGGTTAGCAGCTTTACTTGGGAGTTGGTTAGACAGGAAGGCTCTTGGGCTCTGCCTAGACCTATGAATCAGAACATATGTCTTAAGATTTCCCCCATGTAGTCCATATGTATGTATCTAGAGATTTGAGTCACTAGCCCAAACAGTAGTGGATCTGGGAGAGAGCTTTTCTGTCTTATCTATTTGCCTTCCTAGTGTCTTTCTAAAGTTAACATTTGGTAACTACAACATCAGAATTTTCCTCCCACGTGGGCTTATTTGGACTTCTTAGGGACTGTGTTAACTACTAGGGCTAAAAGAGTATGAAGAGGGGTGATGAGTGGAGTGGAGGTGACCTTCACTGACTGACAGAGGAAGTGAGAACAGATGGCTGGTGGTGATCTTCTGTATGGAAATGCACTGTCTGGAGACACTTTTGTCTTTAGACCCTGGGGAGTTTACTGGCATCTAGTGGACAGAGACCAAGGATGCTGCTAAACATCTCAGTATACAGTACAACAGCCCCACCCTGAGAAGAATTCCCGAGTCTACTATGTCAGTTACTTAGGTTGAGAAATGCTCTTCTGCAGATCCTTGCACCACAGGTGCATGGGCCTTTTGTTCCTTCAGAGTAGGGCAGTAGAACAAGAGATCTAGAAATCCCAGGGATTATCAACTAGTCCTACCTCATGTCCATAGCATATGGATGGATGGGAAGTTCATGATATTGGAGAGAGAGAGTGAGAGTAAATAAGGAGATAATGGGAAAACTAGATAGGAACACAGTCCAGGCAGTAGAAGAATACAGAGAACCTGACTCTTGAGTGTTTTCTGTCGCTCTAAGAAATGCCTAAGATGATCAACTTATGAAAGGAAATTCTTTTAGCTTCCTATTTGGGGACATTAGCCTATAGTTGGCTCTGTGCTTTAGGCAAGGCAGCACAGTATGGGATAGGGGGAAGGCTCATAGAAGAGCATGACTGTCCACCTCCTGGTTGAAAAGTGACCCCGAGAAAAAGAAAGAGTCAAGGATCCTACAGACCTCATGAAGGGCATGCCCCCAGTGTCCTGATAATCTCCTACTAGCCCCACCCAACCTTTATGTAAGAGGTAATGGGTCCTGAAGGTCTGGATAACACCATAGGCTAGAGACCAAGACTCTTAACACATGGACTGGTGGGGTGATTCCAAATCTAGACTATCCCACTGCTTCTGATGCCTTTGATCTTGGCTGTAATCACACCTGATGCTTTGAGATTGGGGGACAGCGTCTTCACAGACACTGCCAGTGGAGAATGTGGCAGATCCCAACGGCATCATCCCCCAGGGACTCACACTGTCCTCCAGTCACACTCTTCTCAGTGTGTTTCAGCCATTCTTCTCCTCGAGAAGCGGAGCCTATTTTCCTAACCCATGAGCCCTGGTTTGTGACTTCCTTTGGAGGCTATGGAGGTGGTGGTGTCATGTGACTTCTGGAAACCACTCAGATGTTTTATCAATCACAGTACCTTTCTGTGACCACAAGAGGAAGCCCAGCCTGACCCAGGCAGCTGCCCAGGCCAGCCCCATCCTCAGCTCACCCTCCATCCAGCTCAATGAGGCAGTATCAGGAAACCCCAGTGAAATCAGCTCATTCAACCAGCCTAACCACAGATGAGCAAGGAATGGCTATTTTAAGCCATTAAACTTGTGGATTGCTAGACAGAAATAGACCAATGGATATTATACATAAGTGACTTTACATAACGAAGTGCTGGATGTATTTTGCTTCAGAGGATGTGTGTGTAGAGTACGGATCAGGTGATGGTTAAGGGAAACTCAGTTGTTCTGTTGTTTCTTGCAGCACTTCTCCGAACTTCTGGATGAGTTTTCCCAGAATGTCTTGGGTCAGCTCCTGAATGACCCTTTCCTCTCCGAGAAGAGCGTATCGATGGAGGTGGAGCCATCTCCTACATCCCCAGCACCTCTCATCCAAGCTGAGCACAGCTACTCCCTGTGCGAGGAGCCCCGGGCCCAGTCACCTTTCACCCACACGGCCACCAGCGACAGCTTCAATGATGGTAAAAACGCAAAGCCGGGAAACACATGGGACATGGGTCCCTTGGATTGTAACTCCTTCAGAGGGTAGAATGTGGGCCACGTTAGCATCGGTACCCACATTAGCTACATACCTTCTGTGTGTAAGACCTGGTACTAGGCTGTGGGAAATACTGAGACTCAGGAGGTATTTCTTCCTACTAGGCTGTGTCCCTGTTAAATTGCTGTAACTGGATGGTGGTAATTACATGATCCTGCGGCTGGGGTCACAGAGTAGACATTTTCAAATCAGCCTGTCTTCTCTTGGTAATAATTCCTACAGGTCCAGTAAGTCTATTGTTTCAAGAGATCACATCATTTTTTTTTTTCTGATAAAGGATTTTTCTTTGACTGCGGTTAATCTTAGGAGCGTCTTAGGCTGGAATGTTCCAATCCTAGAATGTCCATGGACCTCATTTGTCTGGGATTGTGATGAACATTCTTAGACTTCTCTTGGTTATTTAATCATGTTCATCAGCAATGTCATGAGTAAGGTATTGTTGAAGTTCTGTTTTTCTAATTTTAGATTTCTTGAAGTGTTTTGATTATTATTCTATAGGTCTTTAATTGGCATATGTTCCACCTTCCAAATTTTCCAAGGCAGATAAATGCATTTCTTATTGAAGTGTTTTGTTTTCTTAGAGTGAGAGCTAGATACTTTAAGTTCTTAGAATAGGTTCTGCATAATCTATTCTCAGTACCATATATGACTTCTTCACAGGAGAACGTCGGGCTGGGGAATCTTGCTGACTTAATTTTCTTCTGGGTTTTGAGCACCTTTGAGCATGCCACTACTTCAGATCGAACACAGGGCCTTGCCCTCTCATGACGTTTTCCTCATGACTGGCACTGTACACTTGAACCACACCTCCAGTTGCCTCCTCCTCCTTACACTGTGCATGCATGGCAGATTATTCTGTTGATGGCTTCGTACAGAGCAAGTTTCTTCATGCTTGCTTTCAGTTAAAGGCCAATGCCTCTCCTTCTTGAATTAGCATAAGGAGGTGCTTCTCAGAGCTACTACAGTCCTCAAAGGAACACAAACTCTCAGGCCAAGAAACTATCCTACCTTGGGATAGAGAATGTTATGGATATTAAAACTTCTCTTGGATACATTTCTTCTTTGAGTAAGTTGCCCTAATACACAGGCCGGGAAATGGGGCCTCATGATCTCAGTGAAAGGAATGCTGAGAATCTGTTAGTAGATTCTTTCATGGCTAGACCCAGATAAAGCCTTAATCTTATGTTCAGCTTATTTGTTTTTCTGATGAAATTTAAGTGCACGATACTTAATCCTTCTCTATAGATGTCAGCTTTTTTCCTAACCTCAGATCAGAATGAGATGCAGTACAGGGAAGGCTCCTCAGAAGACAAAGAACTGAAATCACTAGAGGACATAGAGTTGCTTAGAGAACTCAAAGCATGTCTACATCTTAGCATTTCACCAAATCATTTTCTTCTTCCATGCCATATGTCTCTTCTTTTGTCTTCTTCCTCCTGTTCTCCTTTTTCCTCCTTCTTTCCTTTCTTCCTCTGCTTCTGTTCTCCTGCTTCTTCTCCTTTTTATCTGTTTTCCCCAATCCCTCCTGCTCTCTGGTCCTGCTTCTTCCTCAGTTTCCTTTCTGATATAGGAATGGCGCCACACAGCCTGGTGCCCGGCATCCTCAGAATGAGGGATCCACTGTAATACCTTTTCTGACTTAGCCAGGGAAGTGATTTTGCTGGTTACATGGGACAGCACTGAGCCATTGTGGTGAGCGACTGTACAAAAAGGGGAATAGGCAAATAGTAGTCAGCAGGGATCACTGGGTGCCAGCCTGGAAGCTGACTTCCACATCTCTGCTCAGTGATGTCCAGTAGGTGACCTTCGTCCATGTCTGAACTCCCTCACTTCATATTATCAGTGCCTTATATTGTAACCACTCATTCACCAAGAAGTTCTTGAGTTCACATGTCAGGTACTATAGCAAATCAAAGGACAAACATTTGCTCATTGCTCTCACAGAATGTATCAAGTGGCGAAGGATTAGAATTGTATAATTAGTGGTTAAAGTTATTTGCTGTACAGGCACACCTTGTTTCAGATTTTTCACACTCACTACCAGTCATTACTTAACTTTCCTAACACACAGGTTCGTTGCCAATTACTTTATGTCTTCTTCTTTGAGGATTTGGTATGATAATATATTTCAATGAATGAGCCCATGACCTGGCTTCTGTTACAACTGTGATTATTTGAATACAACCTGAGGTATTCAGGAAGGCTTTGGAGAGGATTTCTCAATTTATCAACCCACATTCTACAATGAACGGTAGTGGGTGCCTAGCTCTTCAACTTACAATAGCTTGTTCTCTGTTAGTTTGTTCTTTACGTGTTGGTCAGATTTAGTAAATCTGCTTTAAGTTATGAGTCACTGGAGGCAGATATGAACTACGATCCAGGAGGAACTGCTTTCTGAGGACTGATGGATGGAAATGTCTTTTTAGATCGTGGTTAAGGTCCTTTACACAGCTATCGTGCTCAGATGTGATCTGAAGATGGTTCAATATTTACCTTTTCATATTACTTCCCTGTTACAGAATCGCAGATGACTTCCCATTGTTTTTTATGATGAAGCTGAGCTCATGCCCATGGGTGGGCAGGCCTTCGGGAGCTGAGCTGATCACCCTTCCCGCCTTCGTCCTGTTACTGCTGTCCATTTGGTTCTAGCATTGGCTCTTCTACTCTACATCCTTTCTTCATACTCTTCTCTCTCCTTGGAAGTACCCATCACCTTGTCTGCGTCCTCCACTCACCCCTCCCATCTAGAAGTTGTCACCTTCCATACTAGTTCCATCCTACCTTGCTGCTACTTGCAAAGGGATGATTATGGTTACACTTGTATACTTGTATTTTGGGGGCATCTATATGGTTATTGGTTCTCTTTTATATGTTGAGTTGACTGAGAACAAGTAGAACTCTGAGTCTGACACCTAGCCCTGTGCTTGCTGTTGAATGTGTCCATCCAACATTTATTTCATCACATCATCTGTGGAACAGGTGGTAAGAGCAGAAGGTATGGAAGACTGAGCGCATCCCTAACCTGTGCTGATGGGGGTGATGGGGATGCTTATTCTGCTCTCCCTGTCCCATCTTTACCCGTGCAGATACATGGCAGCAGTATGTAATCAAGATGGTAGCTCTTGGCTGCTAGTCGGTGTCCCATACAGAATCAAGCACAGTGCAGATAGAAGTGGGTGTCTTATAAATGCCTGATGGTTCATTTTGTAAATTAAATTCCATAGTTCCTCTTTTGAGTACCAACCTCATAGATGGCAGTCAGTCATATGCAGCAAAATAGAAAAGCAATAGGGAGTTTCTGGGGAGGTGAGAGTTGAAATTTGAATGAGGATAAACCTTCTATTGAAGGTGACATTAGCAAAGATCAGCAGAAGAGGAGGGCAAGAACCACCTGTATATCTCAGGAGAAAGATTTTAGGTAGTGGGATCAGCAGGTACAAAGGCCCTGTGAGCAGAAGTAATAAACAGTAATACATTGATGCCCGGTTTGTGTTCAGATAACTAATATCTGTTCAGCAGCCTCACTGTTCTAGAGTTCACAGGTTGGAGATGGCCTAATTAGATTAGCTCAGCAGACTGACTTTTCCTTTTAATCCCACATACATATTTTGAGGCCCTCCTGTGTGATTGGCACTGTTTTAGGTACCTGCGGGACACAGTAGTGAAACTTAGATCCGGTCTATAGAAGCTAAGTTCAGTGAAAATACTTTGTATCCAGATACCCAGTCAGACAGAATGTGAGCCGTGTCCCAAGAGGAAATCAAGCCGGAAATCCCCAGGAGTGAAAGTGCACTCATTGAGGATCCCAGGAAAGGTGGATGGATGAGGCAGAATTTCATGTAGTCCTTGGAGTGTGGCCTTGAGTTAGTCCCAGCGGGAACGGCTGGAGGAAAGCAGATGGAGAGCAGGACCCAAACATCCAGGGTTCCTTCCTTTTCTGTCACTAGTTGTTTTTTTGTTGTTGTTTTGTTTTGGTCATTGTTGTTGTTTTGTGCTAGTCCTATGGCACGAACTCCAGACATGGGCTTTTTTGCTCAAAGTTAGCACTCTACCACTGAGCTATACCCCTACTTCCAGCTGTTTGGGTGGTTCACTGGAGATGAGTCTCATGGATTTTCTTGCCTGGGGTGGCTTTGAACCGCTAGCCTCAAGATCTCAGTCTCCAGACTAGCTGGGATTGTACGTATGAGCTACCAGCACCCGGCCTGTTACTAGTTTTTAATTTTTGTTTTAGCCAGTGTAAATGAACAGACCGGAGTCATGGATAGATGTCTATGGCGGGTAGGGTGAGGGGAAATAATAATACTTCTTTTACAGGAAGCTTTTCTTATCATGAGGGCAAAGCACATACTGTTCAGTTCCCCAGCTTGCACCTTGTTCTGTTTTTGATTGTGTGTTTCTAACAGGCTGACCTGGTCATTTTCTGGGAAGATGCAGACTGGGTTAGGTAGAGTTCACAAAGAGTTCCTGGTCCATAGTCCATCTTTGTGAACGTCCTGATATTTTCTCTGAGCAAAAACTACTTTCCTAGGCTGGCAAAGGCATTTTTATAAGTAGAGGATAACCAATAGGGAAGGGAAACTGTTTGAGATGTATGATATTGAAGTGGAGAGTGAACTGAGCGCTAGTGGCTCATTCCTGTTTCCTAGCTCCTCAGGCTAAGATCTGATGATCCAGGTTTGAAGCCAGTCCATGCAGATAAATCTGAGAGACTCTTAAATCAACCAGCAAAAAGTTAGAACTGGAGGTGGAACTCAAGTGGTAGAGCACCAGACTTGAGCTAAAAGGCTCAGGAAGAGTGTGAGGCCCTGAGTTCAAGCCCCAGTACTCTCAAAAGAACCAGCACAAAAAGTTAAGGTGAATGAACAAAGGAGCAACTTGCCCAGCAAAGCATCATCTAGGTTCTGGCTTCAATTGTGTTTC